CCAGTGGCTGGTCCCCAAGCAATGCAGATGCACGGAAGCCTCGCATGCTTGCTTGAGGACCGTTTTTGAGGCGACTTGTTTCGCAGCAGCTTGAATGGGAATGCTGATGCGATGAGAGAAAGATGAGCTGATGAGACGACGGAAGGGCGGGAATGAGGATTCGTCCACCGGATCAGGGTTAACTGATCGGTAGCTCCCATCTTACCCACGTATTGGGACCTCGCAAGAAATCGCCGTAGTGGATTGTTTGCAGCTCGTTTGAGTTCAGTGTGTCCTGACCTGACCTGACCTTACCAGCCACCGGTCGCTCCGAACTGGGTGTCCGGTTACTATGGGAGAAGTCCAGCTCTTCTGACCGTTACGCGGGCGTGCTTCTGACCGCAGGCACATACCTGTCATACATGCCCATGCCGTGGTTTTTCGGTCGCCAAGAAGTCTGGAGACATAATTATGCAACATTGTAAAGCTGTTCGATACGCTGGGTGCATACAGACCACAGTTTAAGCCATTTTATTTGAGTTGAAAAACCAGGTACAGAAATAAGACATCAAGCGGGAAGTTAAAGGTCACTAAAAAGACGCCACCCAAAGCCATGGCAAATGCGGAGGGCGTCCTTGACCCATGTTAGCCAACACGCTGCGATAAAAAAGTACGTAAAAACAGAATACGTGAAGGCACTTTCCGTGCCTTCACCAGTAGTCACTCACCCCTCACCAGGAATCAAGAACTTGGTCTGTGAGGCCATCATACGCCTATCCATCTATCCGTCATCGTTCATAATCACGCTCAAGGATGCACGCAGGTTTTCACAATGCGGTTGGGCACAGTTTAAGCAGTCACTGAAAACTGAGTTTTGCGAGCCGCTGGCACAGGCGTGCGAATTCTTGCGTGTCATAAAACAGTTACCACCGCTTTCCGCCTTCTTAATTTTACTGGTCTACCTGCAATTCTAACTGCCAGCATTTAATCACTCACATATTAACACATGCCAAGAGTCCGGTGGTGTGGAGGTGGGGGTGGGGGGACATATGCCCCCCGGACCGCTCTGTGCACACTGTCGCTGAAGCCACTCTCCGTACGGACATTCGGCTCATCATTGGCAGTGAGCGCGAGGTTATCGCTAGCGATGAGTGTGAGGCGTAAGCGCGCTGTAAGCACAGTGACACGTCAAAACTGCTTCTACAGACACGACTACCGATAAACCTGCTACGACACGTCGTCTGTAGAGGGCAACTACCACGATCAAAAATTTACAGTCGATTCTCCTATGCGAAAGAACACTTATGTCACAAAGATTCCACAGACCAATCTTCTGTGCATTATTTGTACATCACAAAACTGTTTGCACAAAACTTTCACACAACAATGCCTCTATACGCACAACTTCTACCGACAAAACGTTGAAACTTGGACTGAACAAGCTTTCATGGCGTAGAAGGTTAAATCGTAGAATTTCTGTCCGTAGAAGCTGTGCTGCGCGAGTGTTTTGTGCCTAGCAGCTTTTGCATGCTGGAGTTAAGTCGAGTAGAAGTTAAGTCGACGACAGTTTTGTGGTGGAGCTATCTGGGCAATCCGAATATGCTTTGCTTTGCGAGAAAGGTTTTGCCACGAAAGTTTGCTTGCAGGGATAATGCAGAGGAAAAGCTGTGAGCGTAGCAGATCAGTCATATGGAAGAAAGGTGTTGCGAGGAGTTTTTTCCGCGAAATATTTTTCGCGCTGAAGTTTTAGATGGGCAGTTATTGTCAGTAGAATTTTTTCACGTGAGAGCAATACCACGTAGAAGACTTGGCTGCGAACGTTTCCTGGTGTAGGAGTCCGTCTGCAAACGCTTTGTCAGGAGGAGCTCTGTCCAAAGGCGTTCTTCGGTTGCGGCCTTACCGTGTGGAAGTTCGTCGTAGGAATTTTGCCATGCAGAGATTATGTCGCGTAGTAGTTTGGTCTGTGCAACAAGCGACGCAAAAATGTGCTCGGTGGCAGTTCCTCTGCCCGTGGCAGTTCGGGGGTGGAAGCGTACGGACTTGGAGTGCGTTGTCACGCGGCGCGGTGAGAACGGCGTGCGTCTCGCGCTGTCGGCAGTGGGCTCGCTCTGTTTGGCAGGCGGGCCCTGCGCGGCCGCGCTTGGCCGCTCACAAACGTCACGAATCTCCGCTCCGGACGAGAGGCCGGACGGGTCCGTGTGACCTGCGCTGACGTTCATACTTTGTATGTGAGTATTGGTGGTTAGGTGAATTGCGCCCCTCAGACACGATGTATGGGCATTGACGGTCAGATGATTTCTTCTTCCCACGCACCACGTCTGTGGATCTGTGTGACTTACGATCGTGCAGGCAATAACATTTCCTCGCTATTAAAGGTAGTATACATACAAAATATTGACTGCATAGTATAAAGTGAACTCGAAGGACGTTTCCCTTCCACTCGTGCACCATGCTCAGTGACCTCCCAGGCCCATGACTGTGTGGGTCCAATGAGCTCCGACTCAACGCACGAATTCTACGCAAGGTTGCGGGGACGCCAGTCGATGTGGTGTTGACATGGCCTGAGATTCTGGCACAGGCGAGATGTGACGTAACAAACCAGCACAACCTGGCGGACAAGGGTGTGGCGCGACCTGTGTCTGCCGGGGATGCGGACAGGCGGCGGTGGTGACCTGCCGGAGGTGTAGTCAGGCGGTGGTGGTGACCTGACGGAGGTGCGGACAGGCAGCGGTGGTGACCCGGTGGGGATGCGGGCAGGCGGCGGTGGTGACCTGCCGGAGGTGCAGGCGGGTAAAGAGCGGTCGCTTCGGCACGCCGTTGTCGTTCTGGAAGGGTGAACAGCACGGCCGTCCTCTCATAGCACTGACCTTCCCCGCTGGAGAGCAACACGACTGACGCCAAGCTCTCTCCAGGACGCCAGCCTTTATGCGATTTACGTCCTAGCTGCCATACGTTTGAAAGGTCAAGATGGCTTTAAAGAAGCACGTTCTTGTGTCATTCTGTACGGTCAAGAACTGGCTCTAGCTCTGGAACTGGAGTCCTTCGCTCTGTCAATTTTACTACTCTTTCAATATTGTTTTGTCTCCGAACCATGGTAACCGTGTGGAACTACCCTTACGTCAGGTTAGATTAAGTCTTAAAGCTCTCAGCAAGCATTCTTACTTTTTCAATTTTAGCCGGGCCTTTGGTCTCCAAGGGGCGGACGATTGCAGTGCTTGCAGGGCCAGACCGCGATTATGATCAACAAGCGCAAATACTGCCGGCTTTTTCATGTTGTAATCCTATTTGACGCACTGAGTTACAGTTGCCGTTGGTATGATGTTAATCCCAAGCCAATCACGGTTGCTGAAGTGAGTTAGGCCATTTTCCACCGACGCCTTAACATCGTTGCTCAGTCCACAATTTCTTGGACCATCTGCAGGAGGACATACCGCGTGTTGTAATACGGTGCGCCCTAGTATTAAGTGTAAGAATGACATTTATTTGCATCATGTGATGTTTCAATCAAAACGTCATTAAAAGAGCCCTGCTCATATGAACAAAGCTGCAGGCTGGTTTACCAGCCAGCCAGTGACCGCTACGTTCCGCTGAGAGGCCAACGTTCCGCTGAGAGGTGTCTGAACCACTCGAAGATGTCGGCCTTCAATTGAGCATGACTGATTTTGGCCTTGCCTGGATTGTGCAGTCAACGCTTCGCGGACCGATTAGCGAGGACCGCGAACGGTCGGGCCAGATCGTCGGAGGTGCGAGTCTCATGCTTTCCTGGGTTACACCTTTTACCTTTAAATTTTCTACAGAAGTGGCACCTCAGATGGCATGTGCTGCCCCTCCCCACCAGGTCCATGAAAGGGTAGACACCCAGCGGGGCCAAGGCGATCTCGTGACGTCACCGAGCACGAAACCGGCTGCGTGTGCCGGGAGATGGCGGATCTCCCATGATGTTGCATGTGCTAGCCATGACGGGAGATATCTGACCTCGATCGATCTAACCTGTCCTAGGTGTACCGGGAGGCGTCAGACCCTGGTTGGCTTAACGCGTGCTGTGCAATCCGAGAGAAATCTAACCTTAGCTGACCTTAGACGGTGAACAGTACAGCGGAACGCGCCTGGCCTTAGCTGACCTTACACGGTATTACGCGCAGAGGGGAGTTGCCTGGCCTCAGTTGACCTTGTGCACCCCGTGCTTAACGGGAGGTAACTGATACTACTGGATGATTAAGCGTAGTAATGGAGTTTGTGAGGAGTCTGCTGGATGGCAAGCCTGGTATTCTTGTGGAGCGTGTGGGGATATCCCATATGCGGGTACGCCGTGCTGTGGTGATGACTCTGAAAGACCGGGTCGCAGCACGCTTCACGTTCGACGACGGGCCGCTCCTGCCAGCTCGCCAGCTGTCGGGGCGGACCGCAGGTGTGGACCGCCATGTCCCCGGCAGCCGGTGCTGGTAGCATTGAGCTGAGTCCGGGGCTGCAACGGCGGTGCGCATTATCAGTGCTCTTTCTAGTCACTTTCACAGCACGGTGCATATAGGCCATCAATCCAAGCGTCAAGTTTGCGATGTGCACCGGGAGGTGTCTGACCCCAGCCGACGTTACACATGCTGCATAGTACATGTTGACGTCAGGTAACGCCACACGTTTTATGTATGCATAGTGACCCCATCTGATCTTACAAGTACCATGCGAACCTAGGAGCTTCAGCTAACCTTGCGCGCGATGCACAAGACTTGTCGACCTGCTGACCCCACCTGACACTACACGTGCCGTGCCGACCCTGGTGGCTCCAGCTCACACGGCATCTCGTGCTAACCTGGTGACTCTAACTGACACTACACGTGTCGTGCCAACCCGGGTGGCTCCAGCTGACCCTGCATATCGTGCTGACCTGGTGATCCCGGCTGACACTGCACGTGCCGTGCTAACCTGGTGACCTCGGCTGACGCTACACGTGCCGTGCTGACCTGCTGATCCCAGCTGACACTGCATGTGCCGTGCTGACCTGGTGACCCCGGCCGATCCGACAGACGCTGAGCGGCGCGGGCGGCCTGTTCTTCAGCCCCGGTCCCAAGTACCAGGACCCACTCCGGCAGCGGCTGGACTGCCCGGCCGGGTTCAGCCGGCCGGGTCGCCCGCCGTCCAGCGTACACCGGCTGCGGCCAGGCGACGTGAAGGTGATCGGCGCACTCGGGGACAGCCTGACGGCCGGCAACGGCGCCTACTCCACGCAGATACTGGACGTGCGCACCAACTACCGTGGCGCCTCGTGGAGCGCAGGTCAGGCTGGGTCACCGCAGCAGTCGAGGGCGGGGTAGGCCGGGGAGCGGTCGGGGCCAGCTATGGGTGGGAGCTGGTTGAGTTCAGGGTAGGTCATGATGGGTCACGACAGGGTGTATCCGTCAGTAATGAACAAGTCAGAGCAGGTCATGACAGCCGTGCCTTGTGAGCATTAGGGACGTGAATGCGGTCCAGTCAGTGTTGATTTGCAGTGCTAGGTTATTAGCAATGTACGGTGTGGTTCATCTACAGTATTACGTAACCTTCTGTATTTTTCCTCTGTAACCATTTTGTTTTGCAATCATGTCGTTCAAAGCATTTCAGATCCTAATGTCCTAATCGTCAAAGGCCGAGAGCCGTGCCATCGGCATGCTCGTGGCAATAACTTGCTCCAACGCGGTCTCCTCGGGCAGTGTTATGCGATGAGCGTATGCGATAACCATTCGTTAAGTGGAGGGGTTAGTACCACTCTTTAGCAGTTTGCTATTGTCCTGTATCACGCCTGTATCATGCCTTTTTAAGCGGCTTTCGCTGAATCATTCAAATTGGGGCATTTGCGCCTTTGTTAATCGCTTTGAACACATTGATTGTTGAATGAGATTTACCCTAGCTTGACTCGCATGCCGACAAGATATCTAGGAGCCTGGAGAACGTGCTCGAATTGCTTTCGCAATCAATCGTGTGGGAAATCGCAACCACGCATTTCGATCCAAACATGTGATCGAAATAATCACGGTTGAGCGGATGTGCTATACTAAGGCAAAGATATTTCGATAATTCTAGCCTCGTCAGCTGAACCAAAACCTCACGGCAGCACGCTGCGGTGGATTGACTAGATCTACCAGAGTCTTTTCCAGAAATGTTTGTGGGCGACTTCAATGGTGGTAGCGCATGCAGCTAGAAGTGTTTGTGGGCGACTCCAATGATGGCAACGTATGCAGATTTAACTGACCTGTTCAGACCTTGAGTACAATCAAAATGATTTACGCCTGATGCTCTTGGTTACACAAATTTACGTTCTAGTGCCACATGCAAGAGGCCAGCTCCGAATATGCACTTGCAAAGGTTTAATGCGGCAGCCCAGCCCCTAAAAATGGCGCCCTGCCTTTCAAGCTTTCAAGCTTTGGCCTTCACGCACAAAACCTTTGCTGCAGACGCGCATGCAGATTAAGCGAATAAAGAGCCAAGATACTAGACGTCAGAGATTGCCGATCCATGGCGCGCTTATGCCATGCCGTGGTCGTGGTTGCAATGGGTCAATATAAAAAGGGCTGTGTGCGCCTCGCGCGCGGCCAGCTGTGCCAGTGTGCGCCTGTGTGTCACCGGTTCAGAGACGGTCCAGAGACGCGCGGTCAGCTGCACCAGTGTGCGCCTGTGTGTCACCGGTCCAGAGACGCGCGGTCAGCTGCACCAGTGCGCGCCTGCGTGTCACCGGTCCAGAGACGGTCTAGAGGCGCGCGTTAGAAATGCCTCGATCACAAGCCGCGCTCCGGGCTGCTCCACTGGACGAACGGGTTAATTGTCATGCGCGTTCTGGCCCCTCGCTTGCATAAGCGTTCGCGGCTGGTACAGGTTTGTGCATGCAGATGCTATGCAGCTGTAGCGGGCATGATCACTCGATGCGGTCTGCCTGACGGCGTGATGAAAAGTCTGCCCGGAAAATAGGTCAGTTGCGCACGGCGCGGCATTCATCACCATTGGCAAATAATTATTGAATAATTCACGTCTTTTGTACTTGCACGTACAGCTGGACATACGATTCCTGTGTGGTGTACGCCAGCCGCGGCGGTACATGTTGACCATCTCGATGATGCTGTACCGCCTTGCTTGCTCTAGGAGACACATTGTAAATAGCGCAGTGTCAACAAACAGCAGAACAGATGTTGAAATGCATCCCAGTGTTAAGAGCTGGCTGAAAGTTGTGGTCGGGCGGCTGCTGAGCTTCACCAGCTAGCACCGACTCCATATGGCGTTTCAATTAGATATTTCAATCTTTGGGCGCATTTGGTCGGTGTTTAGGTTTGTCAGCGGATGCTTGGTTTAGCTAAATGAGTGTGTGATGTGGGCGGGGGGGTTGAGCCGTAAAAAATGACGTAACGTACCATCGAAATACACCAATAAACGGGTTTCTCTCCGGATTTGGCCCACATTCTCGTCAGAGTTGGGGGGTTGAGCCCACTCAACTGAATAGGAAACTTCATTCTTGGGTATCAACCCCCGTGTGCGCTTGTTTGTGTGACTGTACGCCCCAGGTTGTGTCTATGAATCAGTTCCCGGTGTTCTCAGATTTGTGAGATAAAAAGAGCTTGGAGGGTGCCAGAAATGCAGCAGTTAAGCTGCACGTCTGGGAAACCGGAGGTAAGGGGCTCGATTCCCGTGTCGCCCGCCACCCCTGTTAGGGTGAGGGACAGGCGACGCCATGTAGCCTCGTTTGCTGAGGGCGTTGTAAAGCCCTCGGTGACAAAATGAAAAGAGTGTTGGCAAATCCTGCTTCATTTAAACCACATTAATACTCCGGTGGATGTACATCTTATCACAGCAGTACCTGAGATAGGATGAAAGAGAAACCAGATAAAACAAGGCCAGTAGCCACGACCTGGTCGAATTCAGACTCAAAGTCTTTAACGTGTGTACGTTTTGTATTTCGTGCTCTCAACTAAACTACTCGGTGCTAGATACGTCCGGCTGGATACATTTGACGTCCCTGGTACAAAAATGAGTCGTAAACGTTACAAACACGACCGCGTGCATGCATTCACCCAGCTGGCGCTATGCTAACCGCAGCCACGACGTAGCAGAGCCAGCCTCTCTAATATAGATACCAGTCGAGCGTGCAGGTCTGCAACTGCACGACAGGTGCAACGGCGCTCCCGTTAGCGCAACTGATGAAACGTGTCGGCGTGCGCTCTTTGCCAAATCGAATGCCGTAGCATTACCCACGCTTCTTGCCAGGAACTACCAAGTTATGTGAGATAACGTGACCCTCTGCCTGCGGGTTTGTGGAACATGAAATCACGTGGCCCGTTCTCCGATCTTTCCCCATTGGCGTAGGCAGAGGAGGGGGTATACCGTGGGTACGTGTCACCCCCCCCCCCCCCTGCTCAGGTCCCGAGAGGCCCTACGCCCCTCCCCAGACCGACGATTAAGGATCTGAGGGGCCGGCCAAGGTCGTATTAAGGGTCGTGATCCTGCGGGCCGAGCCCTTAGGGCCAATTGGGAGGCCCCTCTGTCGATGAGGGCCTATATGTCGGTCAGGCACCACCAGTACCAAACTGCGGCTCTGAGTCGGTCGGGCCTGAGGGCCCATTATCCGAGCAGGGATAAGACTGGGGCACACGATCTGCGTAAGTCGGAGCCAGGGGTGTTACTTTATTTACTTTTGGAAGCGCCTGCCCCCCCCCCCCCCGCCCCCTCACAATGCTGACTTCGGACCCTCATTGTTTTTCTGAGCTCTCCATTGCTATGAGGAAAAAGGAACACTGGCCAATGAAATTCAATAAGCATCTGAATTGCTTGGTCCTTAACATATCACTTGTTGGCACATATCACAATTGGTGCTTAAACATATCACTTTCATGCAATCATCGTCATATAGCATTGCCACCACCTAAACGGCTTTAGATTGGAAGCCAGTAGTCAATATCAAAACAATTTTGGAATCGACCAAATATCGTTTGAATTCAAGAATAAAAATAAAATGGCCGAAATTCGGGGAGAGATGAGGATTTGACCCACAATGTCAAACAGGGGGTCTTGTGTTGGCGGAAGTCCTGAGTCGGCCAAGGGCAGTGTTTAAGGGACACGAAGGGGTCCGAAAAGAAGCCCAAAGGGCCCCTCGGAAGGCCAATGGGGCCTCTTGCGTTGGTCGAGGCCCTCCGATAATGACAGAAGGTATGACAACGTATAATGAAAGTCCCCAGACAGTGGAAGGGCCTTGTGTCATCACATGCCCCTAACACCGAACGGGAGGTCCTCCACCTCATTTCAACTAAGGGTCCTTTAACCCGGACTGGCGTCTCTGCACCAATTATTGGACCGCCTGCGGCGATCCGGGATCGTGTTGCATCAACGACGGCTCCTGTGGCGATCCCGGGCCAATTGGCCTGGTCAGAGGCCCTCCTGCGTCAGGGAGGGAACCAATGTATGGCGTATCCTTCGCAGGGCCTCTGGTAACCCCTGTCCCGTGTCTCCAAAATGATAGCAGGTAGCCACCTTGCACTGGGACGGAATGGTTCTCTACCCCTTGGTCGCGAATTTTAATGTGCCACCGAGTTTTCTGCCCACAGGACCCCCTGTCCGGAAGAAGGTGAGAGGTTTCATTATTGTTTAAGGGAGTAGATCAAAATGAATGAAAAATGGAAAAAGCCAACCCATGTTTGCTCCGGAACGTTTACCATGTGGCTTAATCGACTAATGAATCGATATTACATTCAAAATTTTGAGCCTGCGTACCCGCAATCTTAGAAGCGCCACCAGCTATGGCCGTGGCTGCAGTTCCCGTAAAACCGAACGGCGTTGGCCGCTGCAGACGACACCAGGCGGTGGGCGGTGGGCACGCGATAACGGCCGTCGCGATACACCGCTCCTGAAGCCTTCCAAAATTAATTTGTACCGTTCAAAGATAATGCTGTTGCGTATATGTCAGCTTTATGTTTTTGGGGATGTCCTCGGAAGGATTAGCAGTCACGAGAGCACCGAGAGAAGCGATTCTACGCTAAGTCTTCTCGTTCCACCACTACATTCCAGCACCAGTGCGCGGTGCTGCAAATGCTGATTCGCTCCTTTTATAAATTTAAAAAGTGTACAAGCGAAATATTTGTGTGGAGCGTCTTCATTACGTGCGAATAGATGTCATCAAGCGTTTAAATGTACTTCTTTTAGATGCGTCATCATTTGCGTCCTCACGTTGGTCGCTTTGCGGCCTACAGGGATTGCAAGGCCGGGCGTATGACGTCTTGTTTCTGGGACTGCGAACGCTTACGGTCAACACTGTGTTGCATAAGTGCTCTCACAAATCGGTTCTGACTGATCGTTTAAAATTTCCGGACGAACAAGGGCTGGCCATATTAACGAAAAATTTTGAAAGCATTTCGATCTGCGATCTCCGTTCACGGAGCTCTCAATATTTTTGTAAAACACAGGGGAAGTTTTGGCAAAGTCTTTGAGTTCCATCTGTTTAGAAAGGGTCCACAAAGCCACTGTAAAACCATGCAGTCAGTCAACTCCCGCTTCCTTCAGTTAGCTGACTTAAAAGTGCAAACAGAAACGCATCTTTCTGTAGCATCTGGTTTCTGTTTTGGTTAAAGGAGTTAGAAATACAACTAAAATGAAGAAAATCGTGTCCCTCAACTCAGGTGGGTCTTATTCGATTATTGCTTGTTAGGAAGGTACTTTCATCATCAGGGTGCCCTTGCTAGCCCTGTGCCCCGCTCCTCCCTCGCTCCCTTACCAACGTTTAGGCTGTGCACCTGACTGCCCTCACGCCTGGGCCTGGTGGAATGTGAGTTCACGCGTCTTGCCGTCTATTAACTCTGGGGTGTATGATCACGCGTCCACTATTTGCGGTGAGTGGGACGTGAGACCTCATATTCCCGCGCTTCCAATAAGGCCAGACGACGTCGGCGAATATCACGTCATACCCGGACGGCGTTGAGTTCCCGATAGGGAGCTGATGACAGCGTGCCTCCTGATAGGACGCTAATGACGGCGCGTCTCCCGATAGGAAGCTAGTGACAGCGTGTTTTCCGACCTGGGCTAATGGTGCCGCGCCCTACGCTTGGGGGCTGATGACGGACACGTCTCCCGACCGGGGTCTGACGACGGGCGCGTCTTCCGACCTGGGGCTGATGACGGACGCGTCTCCTGATCGGGGGCTGATGACGGGCGCGTCTCCCGTCTGGGGGCTGATGACGGGTGCGTCTCCAGACCGGGGCTGATGACGGCGCATCTCTAGACCGGGGGCTGATGACGGCGCGTCTCCAGACCGGCCGCTGCTCCACCGCACCACTCGGCGCTCGGACCTGCCGCAGCAGCAGCAGCAGCCAGTGCCGGCCGCCGCGGCCGGCACGACCCGTGACGACAGAGCCGTCCCCCCGCAGCTGTGACGTCAGAGTGACGACAGCCGGAGCCCGCGGCGCCAGACGCTGGGTGCCAGGCGCGCCACTCCGACGTTACAGTGCAACGTCACCTGCAGGTCATGGGCGCCATAATCAGAGGCAGCCGCCGCCGCTGTGACGACACGGTGTAACGTCAGCTGGAGATCATGGTCACCAGTAGTGGCCGTCAGCCAGAGTTTCTGCCATAGGGAGCCAAATTGGAGTTTAGAGGGTTCATTCTGGCAAGGGGTTCTACTACGTGCTATAAGGGCCTCTTTGGGCTCATGGACCTGTTGAGGCTTGAGGTCCAATTCTGACGCTTAAAGGCTCATTTCATGCTTTTAAAACCCCGCGGACAACATACACTAGCACAAATGCAAGGCCCCAGCAGTTAGCAGGGGTCCGTGGCCCAGAAGCCCCTTACCCTTCCTGGGCTACCTCACTGAGCACCAGAGAGCAAATCTTCATTTTTTAAAGGAGGTGCTAAATTCTAAACTATCATGCAAAGGGCACAACATGCTGGCTGGGGATATTTGCTCGAAAGCATGGAAAGTGGATATAAAGCAGTTCGCAATGGAAGGGCGTGTGCCGCTTGTGACGCCTTTAAACACGCGCCCGGCAACCACCATGTTTTGGGAGAAACGCGCTGTCCGCTGAAAGTGAGTGCGACACAGCTGCTCCAGTCGACAAACACACGATGGCTCGTCTTCCAGTCGCGGCGGCCGTTGTTCCAGCTGACTGACTGACTGAGCTCGATACTCTGCCGACGAGCTGCGAGGCCACGCCCCGACACGTCAACAGCCCTTCATTCACCCCCAGGCGGACACGCTGACCTAACGCTACCCCTCCTGACATGGCCTGACCTGACCTGATCACCCCTCAGGCGGGCGCGGCCACTATTCGCGAATCTTCACGCTGCCGAACGTGGTGAAGCACTTCTCGCCGGGCCTGGTGGGCTTCTCGACGGGTTCCGGCGGCCCCATGTCACCCGGCGCCCAGTTCAACGTGGCCAAGGCGGGCTCGCTGCACCGTGGCATGCCCGGCCAGGCGTGGCGGCTTGTCAATCGGATCCGACGGGACCGACGCGTCGACTTCCACAACGACTGGAAGGTCAGTGGAGGGCGGCCTGCGGTCTGGTGGCGGGTCCGGCACGGGGGTGTGGAGGGCGGGCCGCGGTCCGGCGGCGGGTCCGGCGCGGGGGCGTGGAGGGCGGCCTGCGGTCTGGTGGCGGGTCCGGCGCGGGGGTGTGGGGAGCGCCCCACGGTCCGGCGGCGGGTCCGGCGCGGGGTGTGGAGGGCGGGCCGCGGTCCGGCGGCGGGTCCGGCGCGGGGTGTGGAGGGCGGGCCGCGGTCCGGCGGCGGGTCCGGCGCGGGCGTGGGGAGGGCGGCCTGCGGTCTGGTGGCGGGTCTGGCGCGGGGGTGTGGGGGGTGGCCCGCGGTCTGGTGGCGGGTCCGGCGCGGGGGTGTGGAGGGCGGGCCGCGGTCCGGCAGCGGGTCTCGCGCGGGGGTGTGGAGGGCGGGCCGTGGCCGGCGGCGGGTCCGGCGCGGGGTGGGGAGGGCGGGCCGCGGCCGGCGGCGGGTCCGGCGCGGGGATGTGGAGGATCGGAGGTGGCCGCCGGCGTGGCTTTGAGGGTTTACAGGAGAGGGGTGTGTCCTGCATGTACATGGCCGGGCTGGTTTGAGGTGGCAATGGAACGTGCTTGGTCACATTTGGGACGCCTGTACCAATGTGTGAGGGGCGGGGCTAGGTCTTTACGGTTGTTACCGCAGGGTCAGGTCTGGACAACTGGTGCCCAAGCGGCAGATGTGGGTCACTGGCACTGGGGACGGACTTCTTGACCAGTGGTGTCTGAGGGTCAGATGTGGGTCACTAGTGCTGGGGGGATCGGATCTGGACCATTAGTGCCAGAGACTTAGACCACCTGAACTATCGGGATCGAATGGTCTATTTGGCTATTAGTGCCGGGGACATAGACATACATTAGTTATTGGCGCCGGAGGATCAGTGCTTTAGCACTGGCACTGGAGGCTAATTACTTCTTTGTGTTAACCTGTTTGACTTTTGACTCGAGTCAGGGCTGGGGCTGACACTCTGGAAAACATGGCCTGCGGGCTAAAATGATAATCACTAGCCCGGGGTGTGGTATCGCATTCAAATGAGGAGAGGGCCTTAAGCCCCCCCCCCCCAACATGTAGCTCAACCGTCACGGCCTGAGAGCTTTCTGAATCAAAGACACCATTCTGGCGAAAGACGCTAGCAGTAAAAGTCAATATTCTTCAATGGCAAGGTAAAGAAAACGGACCAAATCAGAGGCTATCACAACGTTTCATGCAACTAAGGTTGATTAACGCAGGGTAAGTCACTCGACCGACCATCTGTTTTTCTATACAACCTCTGCCGTCAGCGTACAGGCAAACTGGAGTCCTGTGCAAAGCGGTAATGGGATTTTGCAGCTTCGAAGTGTCATGCGCAGATACGCCGTGACCTTGAGCGAATGTTGTTGCATGATGATAGAGCCAGAGCAGTGGGATAGCCGCATTAGATAGTTAGGCAAAGGATGTGCAATGTGATGCAGGGTTGCAGTCTTTGCAAAGATTTCCCGGAGGGCTGTGATGCAACACCATCAGACAGCGAATGGGCATTGGATGTCCGCTGGGTGTTAGAGCTGGTGTTCTGCGACGTTGACTCAGCTGCGGTGATGACCTTACTGAAAGGTTGGCACCGCCGGCTCGCTCGGCTGTCCGTCAGAGCAAGACATCGAGTCGGGCTCACCTGGCCGGCCTCTCGCCAGCGTGGCGCCCCTGTGGCAGGTCGGCGCGCCTGGCGCCGGCTGGCAAGGCTCGGGGCCGATCGTGTGACCCGGCTCGCGGCCAGTGGTCGGCCGCACGCGATGGTGCCCGCGCCGGGGCCGGCCCGCGCCGCCGGCCCTTACGGTAGCCGCATTCTTTGCAAGGTGGCCCGTCCCGGCCAGACCTGCAACACGCGCCACGTGCGACCGCTCAAGGTCGATCCGCATGCCGCTGGCGTCGGATTAATTGCTGGTCCGGCGCTCAGCGGCGCCTGCAGTGCGGCGGGCCAACAGACAGCCAGCTGGGCGCATGACCCAATGAAACGCGCCACTCTCACTTTCGGCGCGCTCGCCCGCCGTCGGACCGGGAGGAACCGCGCGCTGCTCTATGTGAGGCGCGCGCCCGCCGCCGCCAAGGTCGCGGTCGCTCGGACGTTGACAGGTGGTGGTAGGCTCAGCTGTGGGACGCTGCCGGACGTCTGTTTGTCTGCGGTGGGCGGAGGAGCGCAGCCTGCGGCGCCTGGGGGCATCTGGCGAGCGCCGCCCGGCGCGTGACTCTGGCTCACGCGCGGAACGCCCGACTCATGTAGTCAATTGGGACCGTTTCGCGACGCGTGACAGCTTTCGAACGAAGGCAAGCGCGCAGTCGTTATTGTTCACGGTGTGTGATGCCGTCTCGATGAGCCCGACGCGCGTCCGTCGGCGCTCTGTTCCCATTTCATGACGCTCAAGGCCTCCAGGCCCTGTAAACTGGCCTGTCGTCTATCGGCCTGTTGTCGGACGACAATCAGCCACCTGTGGATCGCCGCGATGTCGTTTTGATTATCGCACACGTGTTTAGTCATCAAAGGACGCAACAGGGGTCAACAAACCAAGCGGTGGTGAAAATGACATGTTGACGCGAATATTTGTTTGTCCCTTAGAGACTGTGTACTGGATCTACCCACATTAGAAGCCTAGACCCGTTCATTTTTAACATTACTTCTCTTTTATTTTGTTCATTTAAGGTTGTGCTTCTATGCTCAGCTGAAAGCAATCATAGCCAGTGCATTCATTTGTCCGATAACACGCTGATAGTTCATGCCTTTCCTCAGCTGATAACCATCATGATTGGGGGCAACAACCTGTGCAGCCACGTGTGTAAGCGCAAGAACTACTGGCCGAACTCTCCGCGCGGCCACGCCGCCTCGCTGCGGCAGGCGCTGGACATCCTGCACCAGCACCTGCCGCGGACCTTCGTCAACCTGGTGCCGGTGGTCGGTAAGTGGGCTGCCGCACAGTCGAGCGGAGCTGTGGGGCAACCCAGTCCTGGTCCGGTCAGGAGCCCGCGCGAGGGCCGGAGGCAACGGAAACAGCTGAAATGTAGCATGGGAACAACGTAGCTGCCGATGGTCATAACAGGCGACCAGTATGTCTATAGCGGCCTTTCTCTTACCAATCGATCCGCATAACGCTCCAAGCGCCCAAAACACAAATCAATATCGTATAAAAGGACTCGGAACAAAATTACATCACAACGGGCAAATGCACAGATAAGTCAAAACGATGACGCGTTTTCATTTGCATCGTTACGGCCAGACATTGAACTGTTTCATCGCACCGAAATCAAAGGTGTCGCTGAAGTCACTTTTCAAAAGCCTGGATGATGATCATGGTTACCGAACTGTACTCTTTGTAGAAGTCCCCAGCGGCTGCCTTATTATCTCCCTTACTTCATTGGAGACTCGCATGTGGCGCCTGTCAGCTGCTGGCTGTCAGGCACGAGGAATCATTCTGACTAGTTCTGCTGTGTCGACAGACGTTACAGTGCTGTTGGACGTCAAGGGGAAGAACCTGCCGTGTCAGTTGGCCGACAACTTCCTCTGCCCCTGTCTATTCGGCAAGAAGCGGCTCAACAGGAGGCAGATGCGGAGGAAAGTCACCGGCTACCAGAACGCGGCTATTGGCCTGGTACGTGTCCCCGCCGTATGGGGCGGACAAAATCTGCAGCGTAGAGTCGTTGGTCAAGAGTAACCAGCGACTCAAAAGTGTTTCAAAGTGCTTGGAAGTGGCTTTTCAGCTACCATCATTAGTTTACATCGTAGCTATGGTGTTATTCTTGGCCATTCCGTTCGTCGTGCGGCGACTATTCTTTAAATAGTCGTGACATGGCCAATATAAGCGTCCATCATCAACTACCGATTCTCTGATCAAGGCATGACTTTATATCGTGTCATTGTCTTTGTCAAAGCCCACGTCTTCTTCGCATTATGTTTGAATTAGCTTTGAAGTTTCTGGCCCGAAAGTATTTAATTTTATGAGGTAACCACACTGGAGGCTATCATGGAAATGATCGCTCAAAATCGGACGACAAATAAACATGTTCACTAAAGGACGTCATGCAATATTTTGACATGACATGCGGAGGGGAGGTATCTGTACATGGTCTGGTCTCCCAGCCAGGCTCTTCCAGTGTGCCGTGTGCCTGTAACATGGCCAGCCTGGCCCGGCTCGAATCGCGGACCAGCCCCGCCAGCTGGCGTGTCACTGGCCCCACCAAGCGGAGGTCACCATCCTGCGCCAATTCTGAAAATTGCATTACGTCCTATTTAAAGGTCCTTATCTGCTGCCGGATGCCGAGGAGATATTTTTTTTAAATTGCGTACATTTGATTTAAATCTGTCATGATTAGCCATTTAAAGCACTCACAGGACAAGATGTTTGGCGCCACCAGCAATGTGTTCGCTGCTATGAAAACTTCATTGAAAAAGATGGCTTCTGTTGCTTGCCGCGGGCTATTCTTCCGTATGCGTATGATGCGTCCATATGTGACTAGATTGCGATTTTCATGACAACACGGCAGAGCGTCGAAAGTTTGTCTGATACGCCAAAATGTTAAAATCGCCAACGCCTCTTGAGGATGTCATGTTGTCGGGATAATTGAGCTAAGCGAAACCAAAATTTGAAGTCGTTAAGCACCTTTTTGAATATGCCACGATGCCTAAATGGTTGCACAAATCGAAACCAACATTCCTTATCAACAAGTTTCCATTCTCGTAACTTGTAGTGCGATAGTGGAAGCCATGTTTCCTGCACACCGTCTTCCCAGCTGGTTTTGGCGGTCCGTTTAACGTCAGTGACTGTCTGTAGAGGTTCCAATGACCCTAGCTGCCCCGTAATTGGCGGGGGCCCACGGGATGGTATGTTGTTTTGATCAGTTTCGCTGGGGCGTAAGCGAGGAGCTTTTGAGCACACGTGACTTGAAGGTCGCACCGTGAACTCCGAACGACCCCGGAGCACACGGAGGCGGGGCAGGCTGAGCACCCTTCGGACGCTTCAAGAGCGGTGTCAGTCCCCGGGTCAGAGCAGACTGTTCCGCCACACGTATTCAATGTCCAGCAAATTCGGCGCGGAAAAAGGCTGCGTCAACACCGGACATATCAACGACGTGGGGAGGTCGTTCGTTCAGCGTATCTCTCCGGGCCAACGATCTGTTTGGTTGGGTCTGGCCTCGAGCGGGCTCGAGTTTCAGCACATATTGACTGGCATGAACACTTCTCTTTCTGTTTATCAGCCGTCGTGTGGAAAAAAAATTCGCCGATGACGCCAAAGATATCCGTATCCAGAGCAATTTTTTTAAATATCACGAATATTTCGGCCCGCTTCGTACGTGGAGGTACCAGTTTCACCTCACCGCCCCATCGCCTTTTTGCCAACACTACAATTCCCGAATGAAATTTCAAAACAAAACAGTGATCAAAGACGAGTCAATCCTCGCATGTACGCACGCAAGCACGCACGCACGCACGCATACGCACACACACACACACACACACACACACACACACACACACACACAAACACACACACACACACACACACACACACACACACACACACACACGTCGTTAATGCAGCCCGTCGCGGCCGGACCTTGCCGTCCGCCGGCGTCCGTTCCGGAACGATTGGCGCTGATCCGTGCCCGGGGCGGGCACTTCCTGGCGCCGAGCCGGCCGGCGCCCCGGCCGGGCGCTGCCGCCCACTGCGTGGGACGGCCTCGCTGCGGGGAAGGTAGCGCCCGACGACAGTAGCTGGTGACGGGGCCGGGTGGCCCACTCAGGAGCGCTAGGGCTCACGCGGCGGCGGCTGACCTATGGAGCAGGCAACAAACCGGCCCACTCAGGAGCGGCCTGGGTTTAGGTGGTTGCCGCTGACCTGTGGAGCAGGCAACAGACTGGCTTACTCAGGAGCGGCTGAGTGAGCCAGTCTGCTGTTGAGACGAGGGCTCACGCGGCTGCCGCTGACCTGTGGAGCAGGCAACAGACTGGCCCACTCAGGAGCGGCTGAGTGAGCCAGTCTGCTGTTGAGGCGGGTGATCACGCGACTGCCGCTGACCTGTGGAGCAGGCAACAGACTGGCTCACTCAGGAGCGGCTGAGTGAGCCAGTCCGCTGTTGAGGTGGGTGATTACGTGGCTGCCGCTGACCTGTGGAGCAGGCAACAGACTGGCAGAGGAGACGACTGTCCGGGGGGGGGGGGGGGGGAGGGCAGGGCAGGGCTGCTCAACGGCGGAAGGTTGAGCTGGACAAGACGGATGCCTCGTGGCATTCGAAACGACCTGATCCCGTCGTTTTCGTTGTTCTTATTTTCGGCACATTACTGTCATCGATATATGTTGTGTGTAGACTCGTAGCTGGTATTGGGGTGAGGGCGAAACAAAGACAGTAAGACACTCAGACCAAAGGAATAGAGGAGAATAAAAGGATCAGTCCATCAGTTCATCGGGGGAGGAAAACTGTCGGAGTTATTCCAGGGAGTATGCTGGCGTGACGTTATTTGCGGCTACGAGGACAAGCAACTGAAGTCAGATTGGAATAGGTTGACGCATACAAACCCGGCTGCTGCGTGATAACGGTGAAGGAAGGCACCCTATCGCATACTCTTCACGCGCACCCTATTGAAATAGCATGTGCACATGAGTGAAAGAAGGGTCATGTGAGAGATCGTGCAAGGGAGTGAAAAAGGTCATGTGCCCTAAGTAAATCGTAAAAAACTGATTAGCTCAACCCACAATTCTATACAGTTCGGTGACCTTTGTCATTCCGGGCGGTCGGTGGAGCCTGACCGTGCGACACGCGGGAGTGAGGTCTTCAGTGATCCAGCACGTGATCCTGGCCGGCAGGTGGAGTCCGGCCGGTACGACACCAGGGATGACTTTACAGTGGTGATCCAGCCGTTCAACATAGAGTCGAAGCTGCCGATGGTGCCGAGCCGGTACGGCATGCGGGCCGACCCCACCTTCATGTCGGCCGACTGCTTCCACCTGAGCCAGCGTGGACACTCGCTCAGTGAGTATGGTAAACTGCTTCCATCTGAGCCAGCGTGGACACTCGCTCAGTGAACACTCGCCTGGAGGACATGGCAGGCTGTTTATGCCCCAAACTGCACCGACGCTAACTTAGTTAGTTCAACGTACCCCTTCCACCTGAAGCTGCGCTGATTCGCGGTCAGAGGATATGTCCCGCCATTGTGTGTTGACTGGTGTTGACACCCCGATCGGCCCCACCAGACGGCGCAGCCTGTGCTAGCCAACGTCGTGGGGTCTCACCATTGGCTGCACCAGATGGTGCAGTCTTGTGCTAACCAGTAACCAATGATGTGGAGTCTCACGATCTAGCTGGATCTAACGGAATTAGGAATCTTCGTGTTCACAGGGCTGCGGCGGCCCATGCGTTCTCTCACGAGGTTCTTACGCTACGAAAAGTGTGGGAAACCCTGGCATTTCCGCATCACTGCGTGTCTTGGACGTTACCCTTCCTCGCTCAAACAGCCTTTAAAAAAGTACTGTTTACACATCGTCATCTTGAACCCTGCAGCGCCACGCGAAGGCAACTTTGCTGCGGCGCCACGCGGTCCCCGAAAGCACCACTGATGGGGTTTTAAAGATGGGCCAACGATCGCAACAATTGAATCACCTAATGAGTGAACCACATTGGAAGACCTCTTCTGCCCCCCCCCCCCCCCACCGCAGAAATCGGCACGAGGGATTTCGACACTAAATTTCCATAACTGTCGAATGCGAAAACACGTGGCTGCCGGACCGGAGATGCAAATTTCGTTACGTAGAGCACGCGAGGGGCGAATTATGACTGCAGCGCAATCTGTGGCTAAGTCTGTTTCTCACGTGTATTAAAGTAAGCCCTTTTATTTAATTGTATATCGCATGTGACTTCTGTAATCATCAGCGCCCGAACCTCATCCAACAGTCACACTGGAAAACGATGTGTAGCAGGTGGTGGGTATCGAAACCATAACTGTGTGATCATAAGTCGAGTATGCGATAAATGCAGCATTCTGCAGGTCTTCTCAATTGCTATATATATACATATATATATATATATATATATATATATATATTTGTATGTCAATTGCTATATATGTATATATATATATATATATATAATGTTTCATTCAGTAGATAAATGAAACATTCGATTAGTTTCGTAAAGGAATGCTTTGGATAGATACCTGGTAGCTTGGCACTCTCCGGCAAAAGAGTTGTAGGCAGGTGGCACAGCGAAATCCGGATTAACCTGTCCTTGACACGCTCTTGTTTGACGGTCGATTAGCCTTCTCCCGGAAGGTTTTTCAAAGTGATTTCCGAACGGTTCGGCATAGCCGTGCCAAACTTTTCAATGGCAGAAGGCAATTGAATAGTGTCTTTTTATATACAAAATGGGCGTGCCTCGCAAGGTTTCTGACCTGCGGTAGGTCAAAGTTAGGTCGTGGTTGTCAGCGAGGACAGTTTCTAGGGAAACGTTCAATCTGATGCGAGAACGGAGTATTAGACAAAACCATACATTCCTGAAATAGTTTCTCGGCCAACAAGTTAATCGCATTTAGGATTAAACAAGTTCCAATGACACGGGGTCAGGTGCGAGCTTCAGACCAAGGTCTGAACCATCTGCTTTTGTAGTCCAGAACTTGCAGCATTTGGTAGTTATTAGTCCCCACTTCGATTTTATAATAGCGCGGAACGCAAGAGGCATCTTGCATGAACTTCTTAAAGGTCGGACCATGTCACCGACCTAAGTGACCCAGGTCAGCATTTTGTTTTTGGGACGCACACCGTCTAGCGTAATACTTGACGTTGATGCAGAATGCTAAGATAAAAATGATCTCGTAGAATTCTGGATCGCCATGAGCTTCTAAAGGGCAATCAAGGTATTCAACCTTGACTACATCAGCGACGTTTTTCAAAGTGGTTGCATGGGGAAGGTCAGGGGCATTTTGGACTGGGACACTTTGGACACCAATCTACAGTTTGTCTTTGTTGGCCTTATTTAAGCCGAAGGTCATGCCCTAGGAGCCTCATATTTCGACACAATTTTACAGGATGGGTGGGTTCACAAACACATCCTGTGAACTTGGTGTCTCTTGCTCTTAGTTCCTGAGATATCAAGGGGTATCAAATCGCCCCCCCCCCCATCCCCCATCACCACCCGCACTCCCTACCCACCCTCCACCTGAACAAAGGGTAATCAACCGGCCATCCGGCCGCGTGCTAAGAAAATTGCTGTACATAGCGTCCTAAATGCGACATGCATGAAAAGGAACCAATTGAGAATCCTCGGCTCATGCCGGCACGTCTGCCTCCTTCACTTCTGCGGCTTGTGCGCCGGTGTGCCACAGCCAAAAACAACACGCCGTGCCCAATTATCGTTAAGATCGTGAGCTTGCTTGCTTTCGAAAACGTCCGACTTACGATGGGCATACCGTAGTGACATCGTGCCATAAAAATCGGGTTCTAGGGCGGTGCCTTACTTAGCAGTTTACTGTCTAGCAGACCGTAACTAATCAATCGCTTAGAGTGCTTGCAAACGCCTGATGGCTTACGCCATCCTCACTCACTGCATCGGTGCTAATTGAACAAGACATGGTAGCTGCGAGCCCTTCTGAGCATCGGGGCAAGACACATGGCCTGCGTCCTGTTGAGGCCCCATGAAAGCTGGCCAACAATGTTGGTGGGTTATGTGTCCTGTGGATGTCGTTGGACTGCTTTCATTGGTTTCGTCATGTAATGGTTCAGATCACTGGTCCCATTGGAATGAATACTAGCGTCGCTCTCAAATGGACGGGATTCGAATTATACTGGTATGTTAAAAGATTCCCGTTTTTACGCCATATCGATGACATGCCTTAAATCCGCCCCTAATTAAGGTGGCGTAGCTATAGGCACTTCCTTATCACACGGCCGCAGATGGCATCGAGCATGGATCGACGTTTCCTAACACGCCGCCTCTTTCACCATGTGCTGCGCCAGGGCGCCTGTAAACAAGGATTAGGTGGGTCCCACGGCGGCGGCGGATGCTCCCAGCGCGCCTGGCCCTGGCAGCCGTGACAACGTGGGCGTGGCCTGGGCCTGGGCCGCGTGGACCTTTCGGTCCGTGCGGCCGTTACCACACCTGAGACCCGCCTGTCGTAACGGCGACGTCACTGGTCCCGCGTCGCTCCGAAGGGTTGGCTCCGGCGCGAGCGCGCTGCGGCGGGGCCCAGTCGGGCGCGCTGGCGCCAAGGAAAAAGCGTGCCCGCCACGCGCTGGGACCGGCGAGCGCCGCGCTCCGCGCCTGACCGCGTCACCACCGCCGCCGCTGCCGACTCGAGCGGCCTGCTTCTCTCCGACACCCACGTCGATGGGCTGTGACGACGGATGTTCGCGGCGCTGGGAAGCGGGATGCACGGCTCCAGGAATCTCAGTGGCCGCTTGAAACGGTCCGCGGCTCGAAGTACTCATCTGTTCTAACCCCCCCTCCCCCCTCGGGTCCCGGCAACACCCGGAAGTGAGCCGCCATGACTCGGGCATGAATCCTGCCGTGGCATGACTCAGCACAAACGACACCGGAGCAGCTGGCGTTCGCCGTCAGCGCACCGGCGCCGGCCGCCCCTGCTCTCCAGGAGGGCGGTGACTGCCGCGGCGTCCTGACCCTGGCGTGACGTCACGCAGTCCAAGGTCGCCGCCGCCTCCTGCCGGCCCGATCCCTCAGCAGACCGGACTGAACCGGTGCCCGCGGCTATAGGCTGTATTTTATTCCGACAGTTCGCAGTTTGGCCGGTTCAGCAAGGACAGTCGTGTCTGGTTGGAATGTTTTCGGCTGCCGAATCGAGCCACGGCTGGCCGGGGAGGCACTCTCAGCTGGCTAGGGGAAAGGGTCTCCCATCTGGCCGGGGAGGGTCTCTCAGCTGGCCAGGGGAAGGGATCTTTCAGCTGGCCTGGACAGGTCTCTCAGCTGGCCGGGGAGGGGTCTTTCAGCTGGCCGGGGCAGGATTCCCAGCTGGCTAGGGAAGGATCTTTCAGCTGGCCGGGACAGGTCTCTCAGCTGGCCGGGTAGGGGTCTTTCAGCTGGCCGGGGCAGGATTCCCAGCTGGCTAGGGAAGGATCTCTCAGCTGGCCGGGAAAGGTCTCTCACCTGGCTGGAGGAGGATTCTCAGCTGGCCAGGGGCTTTCCCCTTTCTTTCAGGGTCTCTCAGCTTGCCGGGAAGGACCTTCAGCTGTCCAGGGGACGTCTCTCAGCTGGCCAGGGGAGAGAGTCACCCAGCTGACCTAGGACAGGGAGTGGACCCTGGCTGGCTGCACCGGGCGTGAAAACTGTGTCACCGAGTGCGTACCCGTTCGAGGTACTCGGGCGCGGCCGAGGTCACCGCCGCACGTCCAGCTCGCGCTGATACTTATCCCGGCTGAGCAGCATTCCCTTTTACTCTCGCCTACGGTCAGTGGCTGCCGGACCAGGCAGACGGGACCCGTACCGCCGGCCTCGAACGCGTGCCGGTCCGGCGTGCGACCCGCAGATGGATATCGGCTCTTTTTTCGGCTCCAGACCGTAGGCCGACGTGTTCGAAATGAAACACTTGTTCATAGTAAAACACCACGTGATTTAGAATTATTTAGTGCAATGAGACGTGATCCGTTAAGGTAAATAAGACGGAAACGTCTGGCGAAAACGAGTTGTATCGGTGCATTGCGCGTGAAATAATGTACGAGTCACCATAATGGCATCAGCGCGAGCATCGTGCTTGTGTTACCTGTTCCCTCCAGCCACTCTGAAAGTTGTGCTCAGCGTCTGCTTGCTGTTTAGGTTAGTTGTTATTCCATATGGTCTGAAAGCGGTTTGTAAACGCTGAATATAATTCGCCATAAGTCTCGCCCTGATTCGCCGTTTGTCATAACGCAGATCGATAAGAGGGTTTGTGAAAAAAGTTTATGCGACCCATTCCTCTATGCAACACCCTGGCGGCTTCCAAACTACGGAAGATTGAGCTTAGCAAAAAACAGCAGTGAATTGTTATGCATAAGGTCTTGCAATTTGTATAAGCTTGAATGTTGTTAGGTCAACAATGTGATCCCATTATGGCAGGTCAAATGGATTTTCCAGAAAATTGCGCTTTTTCAGCTTTGCAGCATCATACTTACGAGACATTGCGTAATTTGCGGCGCACGAAGCTTAAACATGTCTGTTCATTTTTTAGTTCTGAGTACAATGGTGTATATATTCATGTGTTTTCAGCATACATTTATTATCTACGTCTTTGCTAAGGTAGAAATGTCTGCCGGCCGCGCGGGTTCCGCAGCATCGTCGGTTGCCGCCCGCGCGCCCGCCCAGATAGCAGATTGCCGTGCAGTGTCCCTTAAAACCGCCGCTGGTCCGAAACAAGAACAGACAGGAACACGCCTTTGTTGCCAAAATGCGCGCAGTGGGTGTCCCATGAGCTACTAAAAAATTAGAGTGCGATTACACAACATGCTTTGGGAGGCGTCCCTAAAAAACCTCGAGAGACTACATCACCCCACCCAAACCCCTCTATCAGAGTGAGGATGAATTCAAGACGCCACCTGAATGTTGGTAAAAATAAATAGCTCATCACATTGGTGTGTCGTCAGTAATACGTATATAGACATATACATATGCATATATATATATATATATATATATATATATATATATATATATATATATATATATATTGGTTGAGGCTTTTTTAGCCAGGGAGGATCTTTTCATACCTTTGTATTGAGTTGTAAATCTTCGTTTTTTCCTTGTTCAGTGGGGGGCACAGTATTTGGGACAACGTCATGTAATACTTTCTCATCGGCCTTCCGAGATGAGGGCATAGTAGTGTTGTAAAATTTAGATGCATGATGACATTCCCAAAGGACGGCTGTTTTTTTTTCTTTTTTGGATGCTTTTCGAGAAGCGACTTCGTAATTTCACAAACCAATGGATGTTCCTTTGCCCAACGCGCGAAGCTTCTCGAGTAACGCAGCGACAACAAAGGCAAATATTCACGCCTTCTGAGCACTAGCCCAGTTTACAGCAGGACATTTCAGCAACATTCGCTGACCCATCCGGGTAACAAGCATTTTGATTATGCAAATGCGAGCTTAAATTAAGTCCAAAGAACAATAGGTTAACGGCATCACTTGCAGGTTCGTCGAAATACCATGCGTTCAATCCAACCTCGGTGCAAGCCAGCACGCTATCTGACGCTGACGTCCTTGTGTTGCAGTGGCGCAGGCGCTGTGGAACAACATGCTGGAGCCGGTGGGCCACAAATCATGGGACTGGCGCATCATGGAGGGCGGCCTGCGCTGTCCGTCCGAGTCCAATCCGTTTTTCACCACCTACAAGAACCCCAGCGGAAGCCTGCGGTGACCAGACGCGTCCGCTAGGGGGACCGTGTAGGACGTGGTGATCGACTCCCGGTCCTACCCTGGATCGGGGCCGGCTGGTGATCTACGTGTGCCTTTCATCCCGACGTCCGAGGGACCGCCCCGCATTGCAGCGCCCGCCGCGGCAGGATTGGCGCCAGCGTCGCCGCGGCAGGAGTGCGGTGTAGATGGCGTCACCGCGGCGCGTGCCAGGTGGCGCTACGCTTTCTGACTCCGCTAGGCCGACTATTCTGCGAGACAACGTCAGTACAAATGCATAGTTGTGAAGATCGGTCCCGGAACGTGCAACAGTGTGCTCAAGTGGCTTCGGCAAAACGGGTAGCTGCCGCACTCATCTGAAATAACTTATTGCATCGTCATCAGGGATTTGTAATTTCTGCGCGTAGGAATGCACAATGCCTAGAAGCATCCGACATCATATTAGAACCGTACTTTTCTCATGAACATCGGGACGGTACTGTCATGGTGAGCGAAGCTTCCTACGCGAGCATCACATTAAATTCGGCATTTTGATTGCTATCCGGGCTGCCAGTTTGTAAGCGCGGCCGCAATGCCAAATGCGTTCAAAACCCACACTTCGTTGAAAGTGCGTGTAAAATCATGTATACATGAGCTGACAACTAAACTGTAGTCTTAAAAACTGCAGTATGCCGCTCAGACTCTTGCAATATGTAAGCACGATCTGTCGGACATTTGAACCTGTTCGGACGTTTGTTATCATGTATATCTGGACGAGCTTTTCACCGCTATAGTTTTGTCCAGTGCTGGCGCGCACGACGGCGGCCGGGGTTCCGACTGCTCAAACTAGCGTGATTCAGCCGGGAGCAGGTTAGGGCATACGCTGTGAGTTTGATGCAACGTTTTCGTGGAGGATTCAGTGTGCTCTATGGCTGATGTGCGTCAGCCAATGTCGTACAACTTGTTAGCTTAAGAACAGCCTTGCAATACTGGTAAACAGCATCCCTTCCTGTGGGATACCCGAAGAATAACTATTTCAAAGGAAGCTGTGATGCAGCAGAAAGCAGGAAATGGAGGATATACAGAAGACTTACGAAGCTCCACACGGCTGAGTTGACTTAACGTGTAAGTAATGTAGCAGTAAAACTTAGCGGCTGAGACTGACATAGTTTATGACTTAGCAAGCATAGTAAAGAATGCGCCACCAATCGTTTCGATGCGTGTTTTTGTGGCGTGGAATGCCCAGCCAATGGGACTGATACCGATGGCCAGGTGTCGCGCAGTGGGGCGAGACGCCAGCCTGCTGGGCACTGGCAGTGGCACGGCACGTGCTCGGGCTCCTGGTGTTCCAGGCACGGCCGCTTGGACACGGTGCAGTGTTTACTAGTGAATCTGGAAACCGTGAAATATGTACAGCGTACTGACTTGCTGTTACAATGTGTGGTCTGTGTAGTGGCTGTGTCGACCGTCTATTCGTGTATCTTACGCGCATCACTTGGATAAACAAGCTGTGCTGAAGGGAGCGAGCGCCTCTATACATTCCCTGAACCGTTCTTCCACTCTCACAGATAGGAGGATCTAGACGGACTGAAGCTACCAAACAGGAACAACTGTTTCCTCCTGCTATCCTGCTTGTAGCCTAGGCACGTGTGTCCATCCCCGTGCGCCCCACGCATCGTGTAATGTCAAATCACATTGAACAATTGGTTATGCGGATGTAACCCTGCTGCCATTCTCATTCAGATTTTGCCCACTTTGTCGCGCTCAAGGACCGATAAAAGACAATTATAAACACTGTTGTGAAATAATGAAGCCGCACTCTCCCGTATGACGTGTGACGCGGTGACAGCAGTGTCACCCGGCGCGCCTGGTGTGGCGGACACTGGAAATGTCCGACGCTCCTGGAGGATCGGCTGCGGAGCTGCGACGTGGAAACACAGCATGAACTGCGCACAGCACAGCAGGACAGCATAAGCATGAACAAACACAACGTACAACGTGGCTATGGAAACACAACATTCACTGCATCTTCTCAGCACAGTGTTGTTCGTGGAACTAGAGACGGTACGGCAGAAGATGCCGGTAATCACGTCGGGGCCGTGGTAACGAAGCCGAGAATTCTTGGCCGGCGCGCGCGTGAGGAGTACATTGGTACATTTATCAGAGTTGTGAATGTGATGGTCATGAGGGAAGTATGTGAAGATACATAAACGGTGGCATCGAAAGCACGCAGAAAATTATGGTGACGCGCTAATAAACGCCAGACAAAATATCGAACTAAACGCATAAAACATCAGGGGGAAATATATCGACTCCGTGAACTATAGCAACTGTAGGATCTCGAAAGGCAAAATATCCACTACGCAAGACATCGACGCGTAATCGACGCCACAAAATCGGGCATCGCAGCACATCAGCCTGGTATGAACAGGCTTACAGGCTAAGGAGCACGGAGGCTCTCATACTCTATGGATAAGACTAAAACCTATGGGTCTTAAGAAATTGCGTGTCATATCTACAAGTTTGTAAGACCCGGATCTATACCTATGTGCCTAACTCGACGCTCTCTGTTCAACTATCTCTGCGAAGAACCCGATTCAAAACATGTATACGCGATTTCGAGAGACATATAGTGGAGTGAGCTGTATCATATCCCAGTAGCATCAAAGATCAGGGCGATTAGCTCTAAATCTCCGCGACGGATGCTGGTAATAAGAAACTCGATTTACCTGAATGGGATAGACTGCATCATTTAAATAGATACCATTTGCCAAAAAAACCGCCAAGGCGCACTCTTAACTTTTACCATTATATATCCACCTGAAAGCTATAGCGCTCTCCAGATACAAGCATCTACGTAGCATCCTCAATAGCTATGGTGAAGACGGAGCTAAAAAAAAAACTGATGCAGCTCACTCCACTCTTTCCTACCTACCTTAGCCCCCGCGCTTATAGGGGGATGGGGGGGGGGGCAACGCAAACCCCGCAGATTTTTTAGGGTACCTCTATGAAATGTTTTGCAATCGCACCCACATTTTTAGCAGCCTGTATGTCCTTACAACCTATATGGGGCGCCGATTTGGCGTGCTTTGACGTCAATATCGTGCTCCTAGCCTGTCTGGTTTCGAGCCAGCGTCAGCTTTTTTAGGAGCACTGCACGCCGATCTACGGCCGGTGCGGGCGGCGGGCGTACCCGACGATGTCGCGGGACACGCGCAAAGGGCCAACATTGTTACATTAACGGAATCATGTATTAAAGACATTTGCTCAAAACACACACAAGTATGCACCAGTGTACCGAGAACTAGCCAAGGACCATGCCTGTTTAGATTTTGTGTCGCATTGAGGCATGATCTCGTATGTATGATGCACGGGTGTCGATTCGTATTCTTGGTGAGGGTTTTGCTCCCCCCCCCCCCCAATGTTGTCTTGGCTGCTCCAATATTTTTGCCCAGAAAGGTACAAAAGTGCAGGTGAAAGGTGAACATAAAACAAAGGCTATATTTTTAAATATTTGCATATTGGCGTCGCCATAGAGAATGCGGCGGGGTAATTTGATCCCCGGAGCCTCATAATTATTTTCCCAAATAATGGCCAGCTTAAGATAATGGAGGCAAAACCTTTAGACATGCATGACATGTTTTTTGCACATCGAACGTAACCCTAGACGCCTTTTCCCACAATCTAAGTGCGACATCGGCGCGCCTGATTTACTGGTCACGTGGACACTTTTATGTCAAGTGGCGATTCGTCTGCTGCGGATGGACAGCTATGAACCTAACATCGTTTTACTTGAAACACGAACTGCTTTGCTGTATGGTCCCAGGGAAAAACACAACCGGGTAGCAGGATATTATCGTTGGCGCGGCATTGTTAGTTCAAAACATAGATTCAGCTATGAAATGGGATATACAAAACACGGAACAAAATACGAAGAACCCGTTGTGACAAATTTTGAATGGGACTCCACGTTGAAAATCATTTAATGCTGACGCTCCGAGCCACCGTCCCATTATTGTAATGGATCGGGTTAACTGACCCATTCCGCCCCGGCCCATAAAGAAGTAGAGCAAAAGAATATTTAGCTTGCATCCAATTACACCACTCTCCGCTGCTCTGTAACCAGGATGACACCGTCAAGCCGGCGGTTACATATCCCTATTTGGCCAGCCGTATGCGAACACTTGTTCTAGAAGGCGAGTCACATGTTTCGCCACATCAAGAATGTGGTCAGCATAACTTCAGCGCTCCACCAAAGTTTGGCTTCAGTAACGATGCTCGATCTATCTTCATGGCAATGAAGTTTCTTGCGAGCATTTTGCGCGTTGCAGCCAACAGGTGAGTAGAAAGGCATTGTTCCTTAACACGCGCCCGGGTAGCAGATAAATTATTCTAATTCGCTCGGGAGGGGGGACAGTTTGACCTCATGAGACCTAAAATGTAAGAGAGCCAGAAATATTAAAATTACTAGAAATAATGAAGAAATCAATATAAAAAATAAAATTAGAAATAAGCGGCTTAAGGGTGAGTTGGCTTGTATCTCAAATTACTTGTGCCATAATGTAAGGTTCCTAGGTCATGACCAGTGCGCCAAAGTCAAACAAGCTCAAACTTCAGATTGATGTCCAAAGTGCCCTCACAAATTTTCATTCAACTGTCGTGAACCCTGTTCTAAGCAAAATGTCACTGGTGTTCATCATAATTCAGTAACCTGTGCCTTTCAGAAGGCCACGGTGACCAAAAACCTCAGAGATTGTTTTAACTTAGGAATTTCAATGAGCGTCAAGAATTGTGCTAGTCGGTGCATTCCTTAAAACTGCCGGCTGGTCTGAGTCATTTAAGGTAAGGGGACTTATCTGATCTTCAAGAAGCCCATGGAATATGCCTGTTGCGGTCCCCGTTATCAAGCAGCTTGAAAGAAGCATCAGAAATTACTCCACACAGCAGGATCTCCAGTAAAAAACCATTTGGCTTTGATATCGGTTTGACTTTCATGCCTGACCCAAGATCGATAAAATTTGCCGTGATCCTAAATTAAATTGATAATTTTCGAAGAAGCTATTTCAGATTTGCATGACTTTGTCTAACACCCCGACGTCGCATAAGATCGGAAGATTCCATACAAATTGTCTTCGCTGACAGCCACGGCCCGACTTTGTCCTGCCACAGGTCAGCAACCTTAAAAAATGCGCCCATTTTTACATAAAAAGATCCGTTATCCAATTGGCTATAATATGTAACATTTGGCGCAGTTAAACCGTGCCTTTTGGAAGTTGTTCTGAAAACCTTGGAGGGCCATATTAAATCCGGATCTGAGCTCGCGTTAAGTGCCACATTACTTTTTGTGTCCCACGAAGTCACATGTGACCTAGAAAGCTGTCACGCATAATTAGACTCGAATGAATGCGTGCCACCGTTAACAATGATGTTTAAACATTTTAAACTAAAACTTACTGTACACGTTTTGGGGCAGAATCATGACAAAGTTTGTTGATCTGGAATCCTGTGGCCACGTTGCCTTAGATGGTTTAGCCTTGTTCCGTCACCATTTCAAGGAGTTAGCCGCTCCGGGGTTAAATCAAACTTTCAGATGACAAGGAAAAAGTGCATCGCCGAGTGCAGCCGAAAATGCTACCAATTCATAAGCGCAGGTTAATACTTTGCAAGCTGAGGGAGAGCCAGCGCACACTAAATTAAGATGTCTTGAAAAATATGATACATTATATTTACGTATGTATACATACATACATATATATATATATATATATATATATATATATATATATATATATATATATATATTTCACGCATATTGGCTTGCGCCTCAGAGTGGCAACAACTCAAGATGCGCACGAGTGGCTAGTTAAGTGTGGGGTGACCATTGGGACAGGGGGCCAATATGACCCACTAATATCTTCGCTTTAAAAGAAAATAAGAGAGCCAGAAACATTAAACATTGAATTCGTAAGTGAAGAAGGCTTGTTTTTTAACCCAATGGCCTGCAATTTTGAGATAGGGGCAAAGCGTCTCTAAATTTCTGGACCAAATAAGGTCAAACTCCAGATTGGTACCTGAAGTGGTTTCAGATCTTCTTATGCAGCCGCCTTAACTCTAAGTACCCGTTCTAAGCGAAAGGTCACTGACGTTTATTTCAGGTCAGTTACCTCATTTTAGCTTAATAAGGTCACAGCGGCCAAAAATCCATTGAGAGCCTTTAGAACCCACAGTACCTTATTTTCCCATTTTTGGCTGAGATGAGCATGAATTAATACGGAGGGCGGTACATTCCTCCGGAAAGGCTGATAGGGATCATTTGAGGTAAGCGACCTTCCCTCACATGACAAAATTTAGATCCGATGTCTGTTGGCGTCCTTGTAATTAAGAAATTCAAAAGGAGCACCAAAAACCACCTTTATATCACGCTATTAAGTGGAAAAGCGGTTTGGGTTTCACATCGGCCTAACCTTTATATGTGACCCATACTCACTGATATTAGTCGTAGTCCTAGCCTCAACTGACTTATTGCGTAAGAAGCTATCTCAAAGATGTATGACTTCGTTTAAAATTTCATTATCGCCTTAGATTGAACGATTTTCCAACAGCGGGCTTTGCTGAAAGTCATAGGCTTGATTCGATCTTTCAAAGGCCAGCGACCTGACCATGTACGTATAGGTCTCTATACTTGAAGATCCGGCGTTGAATTGCTTACAGATATGCTAAGGTTGACACGGCATAGCCGCGCCAAAACTTGGTCGTTAATGCAACGGGATGTTTAGTTCCCCGTAAAAGCTATAAAACCCTCGTATATATATATATATAT